TATTTTCCCCTTGAAATCGATTACTTTACTTATTCAGGCTAAGTAGGTTGTTAAGACTGTAGTCCAACCCCGATGAAAATATCGTTATGGAGGGAAGGTTATAAGGTATAGCTCTTCCTCATGATTTTAAAAAACTGGATCTGGTATTTCCGGATTCTGTTCAATGCACTTAAGCCTGAAGAGACAATTACTAACATTCTAATACAGCTATTGTTGGTATTATGTATCTATAACGAGGTAGAATGTGTATACAGACAAATGAGTAAAGATTTTCTTCCTCTTTAAAAGATAGCAACCTTGCCCACGATGAATTTATGAGGAGATATTTTTTGAAATTGAACTTTCATTTACCATGTATACTTTAAGGGTGTATTTTAGTTGTTACCGTGTATAATATATTCATTATTGCCCCCAGTGGGATCCGAAACTTGGACATACGCTTTAGGGGGCAAAACATTCCATCCACTAAGCCACACAATCAGCATGAAAGTAAAGGAAAAATAAGACTTTAAATTAATATCCTTTTGCTGACATTTACCACAAGTACGATAAAAAACAGCCTAAACTATTGTGCAAGGGCAAATAAAATACCAATTTAATCCGTTATTGTATCTAAAATAGGTGCCAGATGTATATTATAGGGATTTGGAAATTAGATAAGCTTCAAACCCAAATGCGATTTAAGGGACCCAGCATACTCTTAAAGGATGAATCAAAGATAAGCGGAAATTACGTGAATTTAACTGTTGAAGGTAAACATGCCAAGAACCAGCAACAAGGAATTAGAGCTTTGTTTCAAGGCCAAATTCTTCAGAAGCCCCCTTTCACCCACCTCTACCCCACTGGCAATTGTGATTGAGGAGTGGCGTATTCCCGATCGGATCAGAATTGCTGGAGTCTCGACTGCTCCCGAGGAAAGTATCACCTCCCCAACTGGCTGATTTGTGATTTCATTGACGCCTGTAGACGAGCCCTGGCGCAGTTTGATGTGCACACTTTGATCCTGATAATTGGCGAGGAGACCGGAAGTGTAGATGGAACCGCTTGCGTTGATATGAAAAAGAAGCTTGATGGGTGAACAGGATGCAAATCAAAATTGATAAAATGAGACAGACATGTTGCTGAAGGTTCCGATTTAAAATTATACCCAGGAATGGCTACGATTAAGCTTCTAGGTTTTAAATGAATGCGGCTTGAATGATAAAATTAAAAAAACCTCATAAGTATCTCATTATAAATAATATATTATCTTCATTATACTACATTCCAAGGGGTTTCAACTACAAATTGTGAATAATATTTGCTCAGATAAAATATCTAATACTATTAGATGTCTTATCCTATTTAGAATTTGACCATATTGTAAATACATTATTGTCGAACTTTTCATTTCTTATAAAAGAACATGATGAAGAGATTTTTAGGTCG